CGATGGAACTTGATGACCTTTGTGTAGCTGATGGAACTTGATGACCTTTGTGTAGCTGATGGAACTTGATGACCTTTGTGTAGCTTGGGAAGTTGATGACCATTGTGTAGCTGATGGGACTTGATGACCTTTGTGTAGCTTGGGAACTTGATGACCTTTGTGTAGCTGAAGGAACTTGATTACCTTAGAGTAGCTGATCGAACTTGATGACCTTTGTGTAGCTGATGGAACTAGATGACCTTTGTGTAGCTGATGGAAATAGATGACTTTAGAGTAGCTGATGGAACCTGATGACCTTAGTGTAATTGATCGAACTTGATGACCTTATTGTAGCTGATGGTAATTGATGACCTTAGAGTAACTGATTGAACTTGATGAACATAGTGTAACTGGTGGAAATTGATGACCTTAATGTAACTGATCGAAATTGATGACCTTATTGTAACTGATCGAAATAGATGACCTTAGTGTAACTGATCGAAATTGATGACCTTATTGTAACTGATCGAAATAGATGACCTTATTGTAACTGATCGATATAGATGACCTTAGTGTAACTGATCGAAATAGATGACCTTATTGTAACTGATCGAAATAGATGACCTTAGTGTAACTGATCGAAATTGATGACTTCAGTGTAGCTGAGTAACAACTTTTTGTTTTTGGTAAATCCCAAGCAAGAGCGCACATTTTTTATACGTTTACTTTCGACTCATTAACGATGCATTGTCTTCACTTTTTTTAAAATTGCTGAAAACGTTGAGCAGTGTGTATAGTCTCTGTGAGATTCTAGAACATGCATTTAGCTAACACGAGTAGAATACATCTTTTCATTTTGGAGTTAACCATTATCACTCTTTAAAGGTTAGCGTCTCACATAACCATCATCGTAGATATTGTTGTATTAGATTTAATAGGCTGGGTCAACCAATTCAACGTCGCGGACCATTTAGTCAGGTAATTTCAGTAATCGAAATAGTAATCAGGTCAAATGTAATTAAATCTAATCTTGGTCATGATTTGAAAAAAACACTAAACAAAACTAGAATTGCAGTAAATCCATTCATATATCTATCTTTCTTTTAATACCATTTAATGACGCGACTGTCATAAGCGGTCTTAGTGTGAATCTTTCATTACACCGAACTTTTCTTCTCTTGGCGTCCATATTTCCTCTGTTACTTTGAGAACTCTCTGGTCAAGATCAGTGTATCTTATCATTATGTCGTCTACAGCGTTGTCTACCTGGCAGGTGCCCCATTTGTCTTTTGGACATTCCCGGTAGTGGTGGAGTCTCGCGACATCTGGGGGAATTTTCTCACTGGAAACATGAAAGTAAAACAAGTGATCAATAAGTTCTCGTATCGATAATTTGGTCGACACATTCGATCCACGTAATGTTTGAACTGTGTGATAAAATGTATGAGCCTAACGTAACCTCATTTCATGTCATCATGTGCTATTGTTGCCACGCTCTCTTGGATTGAGAACCATTGGAATCAGTTCTTGCTTGACGTCATCTCCTGGAACAACGTGTCTCGGGGCAGAATCTTGACGTCATCTCCTGGAACAACGTGTCTCGGGGCAGAGTCGCACTGACTACAGGTTTTTTAAACGTGTTTTTTTGTTTTGTTTTTAAATTCTCATGAAAATTAAAAACACCTTCCCGGGTACCCTTGGACACAGGAAACCGGGTACTCGGGACCCGATAAAACCGGGTACTCGGGACCCCGACAAAACCGGGTACTCGGGACCCGACAAAACCGGGTACTCGGGACCCGACAAAACCGGGTACCCTGGACCTGACGAAGAAGGCAAGTTTTTTAGGGAATGTCAGAGTCATCCGAGTGCTGTAAAAGTTGATTTAAAAAAAAAATATATTTTATAAGCTTAGAACTTGTAAATTCAACTCAATTGAAATTTTGAAATAAGTCAAAACCTTAGGGGATGAGTAATTATTTAATTTTTTTTTTTATTAATAAAATGATTTATTATTATGATTATATTTAAAGAATATTTTCTTTTGAAATTCGGGAACCAGGGATTAAAATAAAGATCTTGATGCTAAAAACGGGTCAGTTGCATCCCACAAAGATCTTTTGATCACTGCTTAAGATCTTGCGATCACTGCTTAAGATCTTGCGATCACTGCTTAAGATCTTTTGATCACTGCTTAAGATCTTTTGATCATTGCTTAAGATCTTTTGATCACTGTCTAAGATCTTTTGATCACTGCCTAAGATCTTTTGATCACTGCCTAAGATCTTTTGATCACTGCCTAAAAAGGGGGGGGGACCTTACATGTTAAAGTCTTTACTGATGGGAAACACATGGTGGATGGTGGATGCCAGGACTCGTGGAGGACAGTAGAAATACTTGTAGCGCTCCCACCTGGGTAGAGTGGCTCGTCTGCAAACAGAGTTAACGATGTTAGAATGGTCAGTTTGTGGAGAAGTTAATAATGTTAGATTTTCCAGTCTGTGGAGATGTTAACAATGATAGATTTGCCAGTCTGTGGAGATGTTAGCAATGATAGATTCGCCAGTCTGTGTAGATGTTAGCAATGATAGATTTGCCTGTCTGTAGAGATGTTAGCAATGAAAGATTTGCCAGTCTGTGGAGATGTTAGCAATGATAGATTTGCCTGTCTGTAGAGATGTTAGCAATGATAGATTTGCCTGTCTGTGGAGATGTTAGCAATGATAGATTTGCCAGTCTGTGGAGATGTTAGCAATGATAGATTTGCCTGTCTGTGGAGATGTTAGCAATGATAGATTTGCCTGTCTGTGGAGATGTTAGCAATGATAGATTTGCCTGTCTGTGGAGATGTTAGCAATGATAGATTTGCCTGTCTGTGGAGATGTTAGCTAAGATAGATTCGCCTGTCTGTGGAGATGTTAGCAATGATAGATTTGCCAGTCTGTGGAGATGTTAGCAATAATAGATTCGCCTGTCTGTGGAGATGTTAGAAAGGATTGATTTGCCTGTCTGTGGAGATGTTAGCAATGATAGATTCGCCTGTCTGTGGAGATGTTAGCAATGATAGATTTGCCTGTCTGTGGAGATGTTAGCAATGATAGATTTGCCAGTCTGTGGAGATGTTAGTGATGATAGATTTGCCAGTCTGTGGAGATGTTAGCAATGATAGATTTGCCAGTCTGTGGAGATGTTAGCTATGGTAGGGTTTGAACTTGTTTTTGGTTGCAATGATGGAAGATTTATTTGTACCTAAAGGTTGTTGAAAGACTTTATCTAAACAGACTGCTCATTAAACTGTACAAATAAATTTTAAAAATCACACTAAAGTTTAGCTTACGTTTCTAATATGAAACTTTCCGCCATTAAAAATGTGAGACACCTGCCATTCTCACCTGTAACGTTTGACCATTAAGTCCTCCTCTGGGTTGGTCGGCTGCCATGTTGTAATGAAATACTCTGTGTGGAAGAAGAAAGCCGCGGCCTTAGGGAACAACGTCTTGTATTCCTGGGATAAATTATCATGGCAAATATCATGTCATCATCGGATAAAATATCATTGGTAAAGCGCCTCGCTTTCCTGGGAAAAATTATCATGGGAATTCTCATGCAGTCAAGGGATAAAATATCATTGGCGAGTTTCATTTAATCATTGGATAAGATATAATTGGAAACTTTCATGTTATCATTGGATAAGATATAATTGGAAACTGTCATGTTATCATGGGATAAGATATAATTGGAAACTGTCATGTTATCATGGGATAAGATATAATTGGAAACTTTCATGTTATCATGGGATAAGATATAATTGGAAACTGTCATGTTATCATGGGATAAGATATAATTGGAAACTTTCATGTTATCATGGGATAAGATATAATTGGAAACTGTCATGTTATCATGGGATAAGATATATTGGAAACTGTCATGTTATCATGGGATAAGATATAATTGGAAACTTTCATGTTATCATGGGATAAGATGTAATTGGAAACTTTCATGTTATCATGGGATAAGATATAATTGGAAACTGTCATGTTATCATGGGATAAGATATAATTGGAAACTTTCATGTTATCATGGGATAAGATGTAATTGGAAACTTTCATGTTATCATGGGATAAGATATAATTGGAAACTGTCATGTTATCATGGGATGAGATAACATCGGTCACGTTTAGTTTACTCGAGATTTATAGACTATAAAAAACAAAAAAATTATTCGATTTTTCCAGTGACAAATGAGATAAAGCAAACATTACAAGTAAAGTAATGATTGGAGACGTTTTAAAAACAATCCTTACATTCATGTATTCAATCTTCTAGATATTGTGTAGAAAACAACAACTCTCCTTCCTTTCCCCCTAGGGGGCGAATCTAATGGACCGTGAAGGGAGTGGAGCACGGGGCGTCAAGTTTGGAGTTTACAAATACACATTTTTAAAATCTCCCTGAATAAATAATAACAAAGTTTATTCGAAAAAACACGCTTCATCTTAAAAGGCACGAAGCACGGTACAAAGCCAACCATATTAAAGGAGAAATGAAAACAATCTATATCTTACCACATTGAAATACAAAATGCAACAACACAAAATCTACATACAAGTAAACCCAGTCAAAGTCTTTCATCCCTTACAACCATAGACATCACAATCCAATATACCATTAAGAAATAATAGCTAGCTGGAACCAAGATGGTAGAGAACACCATCCCAGCAAGGGTGTGTGCTAAAAAGAATGGATTTGAAACGTTTTGAAAGACTGCTGTGTCTGACTGTTTCTAAGAGCGATAGGAAGGGAGTTCAACATTCTTGGGCCAGCAAATGCGAAAGTGCGCCTTCCGTAGGTCTTAAGGCCAATACTTATTGATTTTACAAACATTTATACATTATGAGTTTATTTATTTTTTATATATTACTTCTACGTATTTGACTATTTCCAGGAAAAAAAAATGGCGTATTACATCTAGAATGCTAGGGTTATGAGATTAAGTCATTCTTTTTAGAAGTAAAGATTACCTCAAACAGTGTTTGCAGCGTGACGTATTTCCTTGGTATAATCATCTCGTCCAGGTCATGACTTATGATATAATCGTATCCGCCCATTCGTTGTCTGCAGTCCAACACCGCCATTGTCTGATCCTCGTCGTACTGATCCCAGTGTTCCAATGGTTTCGAGAACGTTCTGTTTTTAGGTTTTCCCGGTAACTCATACGGCTGCACGTCTAAGAATCCTAAATTTTGGTAATATCTAAAAACACGAGTTAAGTTATCAGGATTTCCTAAATCGTAAATGAGAACTTTGTCGACTCCAAGAGTTCGCTGCATCTCAAACCATTCGATGATCTCTTCCGGGTCACGGCCACCGCCATAAACGACCTTGCCACACAAAGCTATACGACCTTGATACCGAGTTGGGTACACAATTGTGACGTAATCGTCGGGATGACTTGGGCAAGACTTTGACGTGGTGAGGGTTATTTTTTGTGGTAAACTTTGGGATGACTTGACCGGAACTGAGCAGCTGTACTGCCGGGCTAGGTAAACATTTTTTCTACCAGTGTAGCTGAAATAGAGTCTTGCTGGCGTAACAACAGGATCCCTGATGTCTTTGAACATGACACAGCACTCGTATGTGTCATTAGAGGCGTCTAGGCTTGTTATTACAACATTTAGTGTATAGTTAGTAACACTAATACCATTGGTGACATTTGTGACATGTGTGTCCTGGGTGGTACTGTCCATGTTAACAAAGGCTGAATACATGTAGTGCTCAACATCTCTCACTTTGGTAAAATATTGCGTCTCTCGTTCTTTGCTGGACGGTCCAGTGGTTGTCATTGTTTCCTTGGTTGGAACACGGGTTGTACCTGGGTTCTTTGGGTTGCTGATCTTTTCTTTTGTTTTCATGGGCTGATCTGATAAAGCTTCGCTGGATTTGTGTACTGTGATCTTGAAATTTGAAACGAAACAAAAACATTATTCATTTTATAAGTGTCAAAAAGAAAATGTCCCTTAAAAACAGTTTGTCAATGTATCATGCATATCAGATAATATCACAAGAAGTGATTAATGATCCATACGTTATGTCCGAGATATTATAACTATTTTAACCACATAATATTTTGTAACAAAATTTTTTCATGGCCCTCTTATAGTTAAAGTTACTGATCTATCCTTGCAACGCTCACCACGAAGAGCTTAGGGGAGGGGGCGGGGGGGGGGAGACACTTTTTGTGTGGGCGCATATAAAGGGAATTTAAAAATAGATTACTCCCCTTTGAATCCGAATTAAGATCAATCTAAATGATTTCCAAAAAAATATTTAAAAAATGTAGAATTTGAAATGATTTATATCTAGTATTTAGCTGTTTCGTGGCCAAGTATTTAACTGTTTCGTGGCCAAGTATTTAACTGTTTCGTGGCCAAGTATTTAACCGTTTCGTAGCCAAGTATTTAACTGTTTCGTGGCCAAGTATTTAACTGTTTCGTGGCCAAGTAGTTAACTGTTTCGTGGCCATCGATTGCACGTGCTCAATCAGATGTTTAGCGTGGAGATTTAATTTGAATGATAATCCTTTAAATAAAATCTAATCGTCCAATTTCGGATAATTAAAAAGAAAGGAGATAACCATTTCTGTGTGTAAACTGATATATTTTTAAATGACCACTGTCCAGTACTCACCTGTGTATAAAAAAACTGTCAAACACTTACCTGTGTATAAAAAAACAACTGTCCAATACTCACATGTGTATAAAAGAAGACATTCATCGTTAAGCCGATCGCCAAGAGAATTCTTAACAGACATTTGTGTTTTCTCCTTTCCAATGAGCATACAGTTTTGGAGTGCGATTTGTTCATCTTGATCGGCTGTAGACCGAGGGTTCAAGTGGTGATTCTTTTCGGCTACCGCAGCCAATTTCTCCTAGTGAGTTTTAAAATCAATGTTATAGTTATTATTAAAAAAAATTCTGTGTCGCATGTGGGTTACTGATCTGCTTGACTGATATGTGAAAGCGAACAGTGAACTCCGTATCATCAGCTAAACATATTGATCAGGCGTTAGGACATTAACGGTAAGGATTATTTTGCGTTCTAAACCAAGCAATCACTAATGTGTTAATTAGGGAGTGAAATTTAAAAAAATACTCTAATCGATATTATTATTTGTTGAAGGTTTTATTTTACAAAATTATAATTTCCAAAGTACTCAACAGTATTGAACTAACTAAAATGAAAACGTACATATTTGAAACATTACCTTTAAATAAATGCAAACTTTTCTCTGAAACGGTCGCCAAGATGAAAGTCTTTCGAACCGATGGAACATCGCCCAAAGTTAATAAAAAAAAAATTAAAATAGATACAAGCAAAGCTCTTTCATGCAAAATCAGCCTTAATTTTGACACATCTAGTGAAAGATGGTTTGCAGATGCACCTCAATTTCATATTAACTATGAAGTTTTGATAAGTTAGATGCTGAACAACTCTTAATAATCGCCAGCCCCCACCCCAACAAAAAAAAAAAAAAAAAAAAAAAAAAAAGAAAAAAAAAGAAAAAAAAAAAAAAAAAAAAAAAAAAACTTAATTTTGACACATCTAGTGAAAGATGGTTTGCAAATGCAACTCAATTTCATATTAACTATAAAGTTTTGATAAGTTAGATGCTGAACAACTCTTAAAAATCCCCAGCCCCCACCCCAACAAAAAAAAAAAAAGAAAAAAAAAAGAAAGAAAGATAGGGAAAAAAACACAACCCAAAAAAAAAAAGTTTTGTTTAAATAATTTATTTGAAAAATTAATTAAAATAAAAAAGAAAGAAAGAAGACACAAGACAAATTGCCCTTTTTTACTGAACTCCTAGTTGACAGATTGAGTTGGTTAGCCGTGTAGATAAATTCTATAATAAGAAAGAGAGACGACCATTTCAGCTGCTAATGATTCCTTGAAAAGATTCTGACTTATCCAGCTAAACCTGGCTGTACGCCTCCCCATGTAGCAATCAGCTAATGTTTTTAGTTTTTGACTTGTGGATGACCTGGGGGGGGGGGTGATTAGAGAACACAACATCTTAATTCATTGGTTCTCAAACTGCCATTCAAGTGCTTGCTGCCACTCCATGAACTTTGTGTTTGTATTTTACTGGGCTTGCATGATTCAGAGCAAAGTGCACTTTTATAGACCAGAGGCTCAGCTTGCAAAGACGTTGTAAGCGCCATTTAACGGAGAGATCTAAACCGGATATCAGACGAAGATTAACACAAGAAAAACACGGTGTTTATCTTCGGCTGATTCAAAAAGCTAAGTAGGAAATCGATAAGTTGCTTGCCTAACATATTGAACATTGGGAGCACCGTGTAAAATAACCTTTGGATATCATGGATGCTTAATCCGATTACGGATACGTGGATAAGTCGGTGCTGGGTGTAAATATCAAATTCGTTTCAAGGCTGTCATCAATAAATAACACAATTTTAAGTACATTATGTGGCTCTCATCAATAAATAATAAAAACAACCTACACAACATTGCTCTCCTCCATACACAAGACAGGTGATGTGCATGTCACGGCGTTCATCAATGAACAAGAATATAGAATTTAATTACACGGCTTTTATCAATAAATAAGAGAATAAGTGTACATTGAAATGTTCTCATCAAAAAAAAAAAAAAAAAAAAAAAAAAAATATACATTATATCTCTCTCATCAAAAGGTAATAAAACATAATGTACATTACATGGCTCTTATCAATAAATAATAAAATTAATGTACACTACATGGCTCTCATCAATAAATACAAAAAGATTGTTTATTACATGGCTCTACACTTACAAGCCACTCGATCACATACATCCACACCCACACACACATTCATAGACACACACCTTCCTACATGAAAAGTGTTGATAACAATACAAGTTACTTATTCATATTTTTTAAACACCTTAAACTAATTTCATAAATTGCGATGCAAGTTGAAAATAGAGTTAATGCTTGTCTGTCAAATCAAACTTTTGCAACAACCATTTTGACATATATTTCTTATTTCTTAAAAAAAAAAACACACTTTTGTTAGTGTTATTCGAAATCAAATCACCCCAAACTAAGCGGATAAAAGGTGTTACAAATACATTGGATCGGTACATCATAGAAATGTTCGACTAACTTTCGAGACGCCCTTTTCGGTCGTGAAATGCGTCTCGTCCCCTTGGGCGACGATAATTATTATTTTTTTCATCTGGTCGGCTACAGCACGGCTGGATCAATGTCAAGGGATAATAAGGTTGAATGGTTACATCTAATCAATGGATGATACGGTTGAATGGTTACATCTAATCAATGGATGATAAGGTTGAATGGTTACATCTAATTATTGGATGATACGGTTGAATGGTTACATTTAATCAATGGACGTTACGGTTGAATGGTTACATCTAATCAATGGATGATAAGGTTGAATGGTTACATCTAATCAATGGATGACACGGTTGAATGGTTACATTTAATCAATGGACGTTACGGTTGAATGGTTACATCTAATCAATGGATGATACGGTTGAATGGTTACATCTAATCAATGGATGACACGGTTGAATGGTTACATTTAATCAATGGACGTTACGGTTGAATGGTTACATCTAATCAATGGATGATACGGTTGAATGGTTACATCTTATCAATGGATGATACGGTTGAATGGTTACATCTAATCAATGGATGACACGGTTGAATGGTTACATCTAATCAATGGATGATACGGTTGAATGGTTACATCTAATCAATGGATGATACGGTTGAATGGTAACATCTCATCAATGGATGATACGGTTGAATGGTAACATCTCATCAATGGATGATACGGTTGAATGGTTACATCTAATCAATGGATGATACGGTTGAATGGTTACATTTAATCAATGGACGTTACGGTTGAATGGTTACATCTAATCAATGGATGATACGGTTGAATGGTAACATCTCATCAATGGATGATACGGTTGAATGGTAACATCTCATCAATGGATGATACGGTTGAATGGTTACATCTAATCAATGGATGATACGGTTGAATTGTTACATCTAATCAATGGACGTTACGGTTGAATGGTTACATCTAATCAATGGATGACACGGTTGAATGGTTACATCTCATCAATGGATGACACGGTTGAATGGTTACATCTAATCAATGGATGATACGGTTGAATGGTTACATCTAATCAATGGATGATACGGTTGAATTGTTACATCTCATCAATGGATGACACGGTTGAATGGTTACATCTAATCAATGGACGATAAGGTTGAATGGTTACATCTAATCAATGGATGATACGGTTGAATGGTAACATCTCATCAATGGATGATAAGGTTGAATGGTTACATCTAATCAATGGATGACACGGTTGAATGGTAACATCTCATCAATGGATGATACGGTTGAATGGTTACATCTAATCAATGGATGATACGGTTGAATGGTTACATCTAATCAATGGGTGATACAGTTGAATGGTTACATCTAATCAAAGGATGACAGGGTTGAATGATTACATCTAAGTAATATTTGAGTTGGTTGAATGGTTCAATTAAATATGTGTTTATTGAGAAGCCTGGGTAAAGTTTCACTTGTTGTTGACAAGGTTTCTAGTAGTTGTATACAAAACAGTCACAAAACAATAAATAGTTTGGAAATTTCAGAATGCGATGACACACTCAATGATAGACAGACTTATCAGCCGCTACGCTCTATGTCATATTGCCATGGCAAATAACAAGAACGGTCTGACACGTTTTGGTGGA